TCTTTCTGGGGTCCGGAGGCTGGTCCTGAGAAGCGTCTGCTGGCGGGGGACCTCTGCCTGGCATCAGGCTCCCCCCGCCAGCTCCTGACTATTCAGCGTGAGAGACGGATCGCTTTCTTCCCTCCTCTTTCTGCTTTCCTAGTCGTTGCTTACACCTTGTTCTGCTAGCCAGCTTGCTGGGTAGTTCCAGGTCCAGAACTCAGGCGTTTTGCCTTAAGAATAAAGAATATTCAAAAGGAGATTTTGGGAAAAGTAATGGGGTGCAAGGAAATACATGGTTAGGTTAGAGGAATTATAGAAGGGGGATTTAGGCAGGCTGCTATAATAGATTTGGAGATTAAGTTTAGGAAAAGCACAGCTAATACAGTGGGAGGGGGAACCATCAGAAACAACACACACAATGGCTGTGTCTAAGAGACTGGCAAGTGTTTCCGGAAAATCAGCCGCTTTTCTGGAAAATCTTGCCAGCTGTCTACTCTGGCTGCTTGAATTTCCGGAAAAGCGCTGACGATCTCATGTAAGATTGTCAGTGCTTTTCCGGAAATACTATGCTGCTCCCGTTCGGGCAAAAGTCTTTTTCCGAAAGACTTTTTGCGCAAAAGGGCCGGTGTAGACAGCACAGGACTGTTTTCCGCAAAGAAGCCCCGATCGCGAAAATGGCTTTTGCGGAAAAGCGTCCTGCCAATCTAGACATGCTTTTCCGAAAATGCTTTCAACGGAAAACTTTTCCGTTAAAAGCATTTTTGGAAAATCATGCCAGTGTAGACGTAGCCAATAGGTGGAAGGAATGCCATAAGAGACTGAGGTGGTGAGTAAATAGGTGGTCTCATATGAGACCAAGAGGTGGTGAGTGATAGAGGCTGTCTACACTGTAAGCTTTTGCTGCAGAAAATATACTAATGAGGGGTTCATTAATATGACTCAGGTTGTCGTTAGCATATTTTCTGTCTGTTGTTTTTGTGCAAAAAGAAGCAGCATAGCTGCTTCCATTTTGCGCAAAACCCCCTTTTTGCCTCAAAAAATCCTAATGCCTCAAAAAAGGTGTAACCAATCTTGCGCAAAAAGGGGTTCTTGCACAAAAAGGAAATCTCCACACTGCTGGTTTTTGTGCAAAAACTGATCAGAAGAGCGTATGCAAATGCAGTGCAAGAAAATGCAAATCTGCACTTCATTTGCAGTGCCTCTTCTGGCAACACTCATAGGCTATGTCTACGCTGGCGGGTTCTTGTGCCAGAAATATGCAAATGAGGCTACACGGCCCCTTCTTGCGCAAGAAAAACCCTCTTGTGTAATGCCTCTACGCTGATTATTTTCAGGAATAACAGCATTGCACAAGAGGGTTTTTCTTGAGCAAGAAGGGGCAGTGTACATGCTCCTTCTGGTGCAAGAGCCTCTTCTGCAAAAATGGCGGCTCATTAGATATATAGATGAGGCTTGGCGATATTCCAAGCTTAGCCTCATTTGCATATTTCTGGTGCAAGAACCCACCAGTGTAGACATAGCCAGAGTGCAGATGAGACATGAGTTTGCAGCTGCTGAAAAAATGCATAGCTCGGATACCAAATGACAGGACTTACCCTCCCAACTTTCTTGGGATACTTATTCCTATCCCACTTCAACTAACTAGTTCTCTGCTTTTGCGGAAAAACTTGCCAGCTGTCTACACTGGCCGCTTGAATTTCCGCAAGAACACTGACTATCTCATGTAAGATTGTCAGTGTTCTTGCGGAAATACTGTGCTGCTTCCATTCAGGCAAAAGCCCTCTTGTGCAAATGCTTTTGCGCAATAGGGCTATTGTAGATAATGCAGTATTGTTTTGCACAAAAAAGCCCCGATCGCAAAAATGGCAGTTGGGGCTTTCTTGCGCAAAACTGCGTCTAGATTGGCACGGACGCTTTCCCGCAAAAAGTGCTTTTGCGGAAAACCGTCCATGCCATTCTAGACGCTCTTTTCCACAAATGCTTTTGACGGAAAAACTTTTCCGTTAAAAGCATTTGCGGAAAATCATGCCATTCTAGACATAGCCCTTATGTTTTGTAGATTCTCCCTCATATGAGTAATGGTATGGAATTAAGACTAATAATGTGCCTTTTCAGCCACCATCGTTTTCTCTTCCTTCTTTGTGTTTATCATCAATGTTCATAAACTGTCATATGCCCCCCCCTTTGTTCTTTAGCTGCACTAAATATTAAGAGCCAGATCATTCCTCATACAATAAATAAGTCAATTCCTTTAGCCTCTTGATTACTCTTGTTGATTTCCTCTGAACTGTCATATCCATCAGTTTGTCAATTTCTTTCTGAGAATGTGGTGCCCAATGCCAAATAAAACGTTCTAGGTACAGTTGCATCCAAGATATAAAGAAAATGAGTTATCTCCTTATCAGAAGTTGTGCAAGGAGAATATACTGAGCCTTTTGGCCTGTATAATGAAATCATATGAGTCTTTAGAAAGGATTCTGAGATGTATGAGAAACATATTACTAAAATAGACCCACCATCTTATTAACTTCATTGGAAAAAATAATTCCACTTTGGTCCCTTAAATTATACTTTTGGTGGAGGAAGATTAGAGTCTTCTGCTGACATCTGCTACAGTGACAGTGTAATTGTGGTACTCTTGGATTCTTATACAGTCCTTAGGAACACATTCATGTACCTTATCAGATTGCTGGTTTTGTTAGTCTGATAATCTGACCTCAGAGGCTATCAATATCTGCTGCATGAGAAATAGACAGTCCCAGCCCCAATAATGAATCCTAGTCAGTTATACAGTTCTGCAGTGATTAGAATACCAGATTAAGAATAAAAAGATCTGAATTCTGCTCTTTGAATTCTGCTACCAACTGAGCATGGCCTTGAGAAAATCTTTCTCACTCTACTTGTGTCCATATGTGCAAAATGGTGTAATATTGTTTCTCCATCTTTGTTGAGTGCTTTGAGATCAATTAAATCATTTGTAAGGTATATATGTATGTACTAAGCATCGCTGTTATACAGGGTTGGGTTTGCATTCATGTGAAAGGATTACTTACTTGACCCTGCAATGTTCAGTTTATACCCTGAAATGTGGGGACTTCTTTACTTTTACATCATTTTATTACCTCTGGCTCCAGATGTGAATTGCAAAATCAGTCAGATGTGTCTAAATTCCAATCGCCATATTGGACTCAAACCACGTTCTTCAGCAAATGCAACAGGTTCTCTACATAATGCAGTGAAAATATTCCCTTCTATTCTAAAATCATACACCATTAGTTTAATTGTTAACATTTGTGTTTATATTGTGAGATGACAGACTTAAAGAAACACAGCTCAGTTTCTTTTTATCTTTTCTTTTTTCTTTTTTTAATTTCCACTTCTGCGAAAAGGAATCCTCTAGTAAACATAAATAGAAATAAAGTATGTCGGTTCATCTCACACAATGTCTATAAATGAGACAAAGCAGGAGAAAGGAGGTATCATGATTAAGGATGTGAATGGTTAACCAGTAGGCCTCACCGGTTAAGGGTGAGGCTTACTGGTTCTGGTTAACCGGTGGGGGATGGAGCACCTCCCTGCCTGCCCTGGGTAGGCGGCTGCTTAAGCCCTGCAGGGCCCACTGCAAGCAAGGGCACGCCAGCCCAGCCAGAGTAGCTCCTGTCTGTGGCGGGCTTGGCCTAGTTGTGCTGCACACAGGGCACTCCAGCCAATCAGTTAAGTGGGATTTTACTTCCCTTTTTGTGATTGGATTTTAAAAGACTGAGCACAAGGTTTCCTGCAGCCTCCACGAAGTGGCAGTTAGAATGCTGTGGGATTTGAAGGTAGTCTGTTTTAGAAGCAGATTTGCATGGTGATAAATTAGAATAATCCATAGCTCTCAGTCAATAAAAGACAGATAGGGAAGGATGCTCTTTTACTTGGTTCTGAAATAAGCAGCTAGTGGGAATTTGTTTTTGAGGATATATACTGAAGCAACAAATCCTGATTAGACATTTCTATTAATAAATTTTCCTCACTGCAGTTCTGTGGAATCACCTTATTTTCCCTCTTTTTAGTCCTCCTTTATAAAGGAGGATTGAAAAATGCTCTACCTCTTCATCCACTGGAGGACTTCATGCTTATATTCACCAGATTTGTCAAGCCAACAATCAAATTTTGGGGCTCTTGTGTGGCTGCATAAGTAGGATACTGGACAACCCGGGTCATGGAGAGCGAGCGTACCTTGTTATCTGTGTAATGCCAGAACTTTTCATGACAGTTGTCAGAGACTTTTAAAAAAACATTGTCATCATCATGAGGGATAGCCAGCAGCCTGGGGACTAAGGGGTTAACTGTACCTAAGCGAGGTAGCAGTCAGCCAATAAAAATGCAGATAGGGATTTCAAACTGGGGAAAAAGGAATTTTTGCGTTTTTCCCTCCTTTGTCTCTGGGCAGTTTTCTCTTCAGATACTGAGGGAGACAGACATGTCTATTTCTCCAAGAAAGACTCTTCACTATCTGTAAGTAGGGTACAATTTAGATTAATCCATTAGGTTTTATTGTTTTATGGTTTGGGAATGGGAATCTGATGTCTGTGCATTTAGAAATGGGTTTTTCCCTCAGCTGTGTCTACATT